GGGGGGGGGTTTGAACCCCCAAAACCCCTCCCTTGCGCACGGGCCTGACAACAGGCAACCAAAACAAAGATAATAAGCTGATAGTAGACAACACTTGCAATTCACATATGTCGACCGATCGGTACACAACGGAAGTCGCGTTGTAATGTTATATTAATTTAGCGACGATCGGGACGACACAGACTCGATTTTAAACGAAGACCGCAAGGCAGTGTATATATATATATTAAGTTTAGCGGAGTGCGGATGTCACGACAACGATATATATATATATACGGTTCGAAACGCGAGAGATGTAACCGTTTTGATTTCAAACACAAGAAAACCGACCTAAGCGAAGGTAAAAAGTCTAAAACGGGCGCACACTTGGACACTTGGACACTGTTCACCAGACGGTCTGAGGCGACAACGTGCCGACAACTTGTTACCACGAAGGCGTCGCACAGAGGAGTCACTATTCTTTTTGCCGATGTCTCCGACAACACCAAAAAATATGCTATTCGAAATTAGTGGCCAATGACCCTATATCACCTGAGATAGGGCAATATCTATACGTAATCTTTAGGGCGGTTATAATTCCGTAAAGATACGTGATTGTGAGGGCCGTTGACCTACTAATCCGTTTTTACTGTCGAGCAATCGATTTTAAAATAGCACATAATAGGGCCATCGACCCCAGAAGAGAGGAGTCGCGATTAGGGCGGCAATAAAATCTATTTGAAGTTATCGCAATCGATAACTTGCGCGAACACTGGTATATGACTGAGATGAATGGAGCACTGTGAATGATGATGGCCCATAAAAATAACAAAACACCAAATATCCTCACCGCCCATAAAGTAAATTTGTAAAAATGTATGTGGTTCGTTTGGCATTGGTAGCAATGAGCCCACTCTATGATAAACTTGGCCTTTGATTTTGAATGTTGAATTAAATTGTTGACCATTTGCAGCATTATTTTTAACTATTTCTGTTGCTCTGAATAATGTCATTTGGAAACATGAATTGAATTTTCGAATTAACTTTAGGAACAGGTTAGAATCTGGATCCGTACCGATAAGTAAACCGTTCAATGGTTCAGGTGGTGTTTCAATTTCCGGTAGTTGCACTTTTCCTGACGCGCAACACATGCCGGCTGGCTCATGTTTGAACTTAAACGCATTACAATGCAGACACTCATTGTTCATAGCACCTACTTTCGAATGAGCGTAATTTTTAATATTTTTTTAATTTTTATTATATATTTTTATATATTCCATACTCGAATGCTAGACGAAGGAATGAATTGGATGTAAATGCTCTATGTACTTGTTGGCATTGTCGGTCATTTTCTCTGCGTGTGTCAACTACGAATTGACGCGCTTCTAATCGTCTTTTTTGATTTTGTTCAGCTTGTGCCTCACGCATTCGCACCATGTTCACACGTACATTTCATTATTTGGTTGGGCTCTTCTATCTCGCATGATTGTACTTTTGGTCGTTCGACGGGCCAAATCAGACCCCTTGCGTCTTGCTGGCATTGTACAAAATACACAAATCGATATAATTAAAGTTCATATATGTGATTATTAACCTTTCTTATAAATGAGAGAGAAAGCTTATAGTGTTAGACTGACCCATTCAACGGTCGAGTCGTTTCTGATGAATTTGTTAAATGCGATAAATCCGCGGTTGTTTAATATTATGAAAAAAGATGGAAACGTACTCTACGTATATAATTGTAAATTTATAATTTATAGTTCCCTGGCAACAACTGTTGTATTTTATATTGTTTATTATTTTTATATTTTATTTTTTATTTTTTTATTTTCCATCGCCGATATCCAGCAGTTGTTATAAATATTTGTGGTGAGTCACCCTTTACACCAAGAGGTATGAAAAATAGTTAACATCACTCGTTGAGAGCTACTTAATTTACACAAAAGATTTCATGAAAATTGGTCCAGCCGTTTTGGAGGAATTTAGTAGCAAAATTTGTGACCCGGCCACGCGTTGCTGTGGCTTAATGTTCTTATACTTGATATTAAGCAGACAGTCTTAAACTTTTAAACGTTAATATCTAATTTTTTAAATTATAAATACTTTTAATTTTTCTATTTAATTTAACACCAATCGGTGCACAATGCTTTTGGTTAACCTGTCTTTAGCTAACACAAATAGATTCGACAGTTTCTCAACACGTGAACACGCAACATATAGTTGCCCATGAGAAAAACATGGATTTTCCAAATCTAAACCACAAATGGACATTGTTTGACCTTGAGATTTATTTATAGACATGGCGAAAGCTAAACGAATTGGAAACTGTAGCCTTTTGAAGGGTATGGTAGAATCTGATACGTGGCAGCAGGACCACTTTTCCTTTAAACTTCCCAGACAAAATGGTTGCTTCAAGAATGTTTCCGGTAATCTTTTTGATGACCAAACGCGTACCGTTACATAATTGAGGTGGCTTCAAATTACGGAGGAGAATAATGGGGGAACCAATCTTTAATCGAAGATTATGTGGTGGCATTCCAGGGATATCTAATGAATTTAAAAATTCTTTCGGAAAATTTACACTTTCATTTTCGTCAACAACAGTATCGATTGATTTAAATGACATCAGATCGCTTGGTAACAACTGTTGTATCTGGAAGTTAATTTCGTCAACATCAACGTTTTTGGCTGCCAAAATCGCCCGTTGACTAAGCCATTCATGATTCAAATAATTATTCTGTATATCCGGGAAAATACTCTGAATCAAATCATTTTTATCCTGAACAACAGTGCAAAAATTGTCCGCGAAAGTAGAGCGAGGTATAACCGGTAAGGTCTGCCGGAAGTCACCAGACAAAAGTAAGATAGCACCACCGTAAAGTTTATTATTGCTGTTTAAACCTTGCATAGTTCTGTTTAGTGCTTCAAGTGAATATTTGTGTGCCTTTGTGCACTCATCCCAAATTATTATAGAACTCTTCCGCAACACTGCAGCTATTCCACAATTCTTTTTGATGTTACACATTGCATCTGGTTTATTATGAACGTCCAATGGCAGCTTGAATGTTGGATGTGCTGTTCGCCCACCATCCTAAAGTAGCCGCAATGCCTGACGATGCTACAGCTAATGCGATTTTTTGTTGCGACCGTATTTTGGCAAGAATCAACGATATTAAAAATGTCTTACCGGTTTCACCGGGTGCATCCAAGAAAAAAAAAACCGCCAGCATAATCCGATCATAAATAATTTTTTGTTCTGCTGTCAGTAATAAAAACTTTTATAATATTTTTTTTTTCTATTTTTATCGATATTAATCGATTTCAAGCCCTGCTATTATCGATTTTTGTATTATTATTTATATTTTATTTTTATCTGCTAGAGGGTGCCACCGGTGTAACTCGGTTTTTGTCTCTAAATCTCTAACTCATAGGAGTTTCGAAAAATCCTTTCTTAGTGCGCCTATACATAGTAATAAGTACATATCCTGAAAATTTCAAATAAATCCGTACGGTAGTTTTGGCTGTACGTTGATTATTGGTAAAGTATACTTTCTCTTATATATAGAGACTAGCCGACCCGTCACAGCTTCGCCCGTGATTGGTTTTATATTTTGCCTTCGGACCATGATATGTAGAATTTTTTATTCAAATATTATTGTTTAATGTGATCGGCAAGTAAATATAAAAAAACGGTTAATGAAAACGGATTGAAATTTTTTCTTTCAATTTTAAAAATTAATTTTTTTTTTCTTTTTATGGTATTGGCAAAAGAACCTTTAACCTTTCGCTGGCCCTGTAAGAATTACGGCTTCTATAATATTATTTCGCAACGATTTTATTTGTAATCTTGTACCGTTACATAAGTTCGGTGGTTTAGGAGGTTGATGAGGAGGAAATCCCGAAGGAGAAAGAGAATTGAGAAATTCTTGTGGATAATGAATAGCATCATCTGTTGATGTAACTGTTATTATCAAAGAAATGTTTTGATAGAGGGTGAGAATTATCAATTAAACATTTAATTGGGTCTGGAAGATCCTCGAATTGGTGTAAAACAACTTTACCGCCAGCGCAGCAAAGTCTATGGGTTTCATCTTTCCATTTTTTTTGCATAGCACTTAGGACATAATATAGTCATTTGTCCAATTTGAAGCGCTTTAATATTTAAATAACCAATCTCGGATTGATAATTAAACGCCGATTTCATACTCAAAGAGTTAAGTTGCTCCTGTGCAAGTGTTTGAGAACGTTCTGGTGTGTTATTTTGTTGCCTTCTGTTATACATTCGAGTTGCATGCATTGGCAGTTCTTCTGCCAATGCGTGCTCTTTGCGCTCTCGGCATGATAATGAATTAGCCACATGATTTAGATTTGTATTTATATTTGTTTTATTTTGTATCCTAGTTACATAGCTTCATTTTTGACATTTCAAGCCCTACTATTATCGATATATGTATTATTATTTATATTTATATTTTTATCTGCTAGAGGGCGCCACCGGTGTAACTCAGTTTTTGTCTCTAAATCTCTAACTCATAGGAGTTTCGAAAAATCCTTTCTTAGTGCGCCTATACATAGTAATAAGTACATATCCTGAAAATTTCAAATAAATCCGTACGGTAGTTTTGGCTGTACGTTGATTATTGGTAAAGTATACTTTCTCTTATATATAGAAGATAAAGGTTATGTTTATGTATATATTTTATTGTAGGTATGACGAGTTATTAAAAATTAAATACCGTATTCACTTCTTTTTTAAGTTGGCAGCACCGCTGTCACCAAAATTATTATACCTTTATCATTTTTCTGACAACTAACCTATAACTAACCTTTTTTTTTTTTTTACATTTTGAATCGACGACTGAGGGTGGTACTAACGCTAGTTATTTCACCCCCCAGCCGACATCATTTATTTTGAGAACAAATAACATATTATTACAATAATTTGTATACAAAATCGAATCGGGGGCCTCTAACCACCCTGTACAAAGAAATTTGGCCTTTGGCCTACAACGTTAGAAGGCTTAACTATGCATATACGCTTCATTTTCTCTCCTTTCTTCCTCCTCCTTCGCTTTCAGCACCTCCTTTACAAATCTGTGGATCACGTTCCACCGTTCCTCGCTGTCCAACATAATTTGGACAAGATTATCTGCTGTGATTTCTTCACCAATCATTATACAGCATGTCCTCCTTCTTTCTGCCCAAGCGTCGCATTCAAATAAGGTGTGTGTTGCATCATCTCTTGCATGTCCACAGAACCAACATACTTCGGAGTCTGCTTTGCCAAACCTCAGCAGATAATCTGGGAAGCACCCGTGACCCGTTAGGGCCTGAGTGAGGTGGAAGTCCACCATGCCGTGTTTTCTTCTGTACCAGCTCCCGACGTCCTTTATGAATTTTCGTGTCCAACCCAACTTCCTTTTCCTCCTCTTTCCCATCTGGCCTGCCATGCTGAGATCATCTTCTCCTCCGCTTCTTTTGTTTCTTCTGTTGTGTTCATGCTCTTCCTGTATTCCGCAAGTAGTTCCGGAGGTGGCATCCCTGCTAATACTTCAACTGCCTCCTTGGCTGCAGTTCTGTACGCTGCTATCACTCTGAGTCCCATTCTTCTGTTGGTTCTATCCAGTATCTCCCATCCTGTGCTGCTCATGAGTCTCGCCCAGACAGGTGCGCCATACATCATAATGCTCTGAATCACCGACGCTAATAACTTCCTTTTATGCGAGCTGGCCCCGCCCGTGTTTGGCATGATTCTGATGAGTCTGTTCGTCGCTTCATCGGCCTTCTTTGCAACCATGTCCGCGTGGTCTTTGAATACTAGCTTGCTGTCCATGCACAGGCCAAGGTATTTTACTGTGTCTTGTGATGTTATCGCATGACCCCGTAACATTACCGATATTTTATTTTGTGTTCTTTTCCTCGTAAATAATATTGCTTCTGACTTGTGGGCTGCTAATTCGATCCCCGTTTCTTCTAGCCATGCTATTATTTTTTCAGCCGCTTCTTCCAATAGTCGTTCCACTTTTACTCGGTCACGTGAGCTAGCAGTGATTGCGACGTCATCGGCATAGGCTATAAGCTCAACGCCTTCAGGCATTTGTATGCGTAGGAAATTATCATAGAGTAAGTTCCACATGGTAGGGCCCAGTACTGAGCCTTGTGGAACTCCTGCTGTTATTGTATTTTTCATTACCTTGCCATCTACTTCAAATGTCAGGTTTCTGTCGCAGAAATAATTGTCTAGCAGTTTACATATGTGTATTGGTAGCTTCTTCGCAGCGGCTGCCTCGATGATGCCGGTTCACGGCGCCGAGTTAAACGCATTACGTATATCTAACGTTAGAAGTCCGACCTTCCATTGGATGTCTTGCCTGCATACATCGGCTATTTCCCTCAGTCTAATAGCTGCACCGACTGTTGAGTGTCCGCAGCGGAATCCATGTTGATTAGTAGTAAGGCAGTTGTTGGTTTCCAAAAATTCTCTGATTCTGTTATCTATAATCTTCTCGAGGAGTTTTCCTGTTATATTTAGCATGCATAGTGGGCGGTACGAAGATGGTTCGTCTAGAGGTTTACTGCCTATTCTTACCAGCACCAGTCTCGCCGTTTTCAATGCGGGGGGGGAAGCTTCCTTGTGTTATGCACTTGTTGAATATATTTAAGACTTGTCCTGGCCTTCGTTCGACAATCTTTTTAAGTATTTCGTTCGGAACTCCATCTGGTCCGGGCGCTTTATTTCCTTTCAGAGTTTTCGCAGCTCGTTTAATTTCTGTCTCCGTGACTAGGAGGGGGTTTTCTTCTACTAGCCAGCTGGTTTCTTCTTTAACCGGATGGGTGGGGAATAAACCTTCTACGATAGCTGCTATTCTGCCTGGAATGTTGATGCCTGGAATAGAGGCATTCTTGCATAGTTTTCCCATGACTATCTTGAATGGCCTGCCCCATGGGTCGGTTTCCACTAACTTGCAGAGCTTACGCCACGCTTATTCTTTCGACTTCTTTATGCTTTTGTCAACTTCATTCTTGCATCTTTCAGCGATTCTTTTTCTGCCACAAACATGTCCGTGCCCACCCGTTTGCGCCTGCGCTGATATACCCGACGGAGGTGGTTGCAGTCTTTCCTTAACTGCTGGATTTGAGGAGTCCACCAGTGCACGGATTTTCTTTTTGTGACTATAGATATTTTCGGGCAACATCATCAAGAATTCCGTTTAGCGCACGGCCAAAGGTCTCTGCACTGTCAATAGCCAATTCGTCATTGTGCATTATCGTCATATTCTTATCTATCGCCTCCTCCAGTTTCTTCGGATCTATGTGCCTGATATTTCGTCTCGTGCATTCTCTAGATGTTCTAAGTGTATTGGTTCCTTCAATCGTGAATTCGATATAAAAGTGGTCGCCGTGAGACTCTTCTTCTAGTATCCGCCAGTTAGTGACCCTGTTGATAACGTCTGATGAGACCAAAGTCACGTCGATATATGACTGGGAGTCCCCCCCTTAGCCATGTAGGATGCTTGCCATGATTGCATACTGATAGTCCCAAGGATTGTATGAAGTCCGATAGGAGTTCTCCTCTGTTATCGTTCACACGGGAGCACCATTGTCTATGTTTTGCGTTAAAATCACCTGCTACGACTGCATCGCTAGATGAGGTCCTAATACTGGCTTCGAGTCTTCCTAGCCAATTATCAAATTCCGCTGTCGTAATATTGGGGCTTATATAGCATGCGTAGATCCTAAGATTTCCTGTATTAATCCATATGAAGCCGTTTTCTGGATCCCCTATCTCCGTTATTTGTATTTGACTACAATTTACTATTGCTGCTCTAGATGATATGTCGCAGTACCAGCCGTTCGCCTCGTTCTTATTGCCTCCGTACTTGTAGTATTAGCTCGCTATAATGACATTTATCCCTTGTTCTCTTGTCTTCTGTATCGCCAGATCTTGGGCGGCGATCTTTCCTGCAAGGTTGATTTGCAGTACCTTAATCATTGTTTGTTAGTGGTTGAGTTCGTCTTGGCTTTAGTCACTTCTGTAGCTAGCTCCTCTTTGAATCGGCTGACTTCCTAATCATTTGCGTCGCACATTCGTGCCTAATGACTAACTTTCCCGCATTTATTACATCTGACTCGTGACCATATCCGAGGCATATATAACACCTCAGACTTATCTTGCGTTGTCTAACTCTGCAGAAGACAAGACCGACCCGAATTCTACCGACCTTGACCATTTTATTGTTCGCATGCATCGGGACAAGTCTAGCCCTGTTTGTGTTTCACCGCGGTTTTTCATGATGTTAATGACGTTTACTTCGTTCAGTGTTATTTCCATCTCTTCGGCTATGCTCAAAGCTAGTTCATCTTTGAACGTCATAATGTCCATATCCTGGATCTCGATCAGACATTTCTGCCGTAGGGTTCTGATCTTAGCTTCCTCTGTCGTCTTCAGGAGTTCGTTTCGCACTACTTGTACTGCTTCTTGCACACCCCATATTTGTATGATAGCTTTTCCGTTCTTCGCTTGTCTAATGCTGCTGATTCTATCACCAATTATCTGCTTGTCCAAGCCTGTCCTGATCTTCTTGACCATCTCCGGAAACTCATCTGCGCCCTGGTCGATAATCACTGCGCATTGCTTAGTTCTTCCACGTCTCTGTTTACCGATAAACCTCTCGTCATGGCTGTTGGACTGTTGTTCTATGTTCTTATGAGGTTGTGATTTATCTGGTGCTTCTTTTCGTTTTTTTCGACCAAAAATTTCTGACCAGGTGCCTTCCTCTGTATTATGCTGTGCCGTGGGCTCCGCTATTGTACTTATATCCCACCAGCAGGGTGTTGAAGTACTTTCATCTTTAGTCTGTTTAGCTTTGGCTGGTTCTTCGGTTTTGGTTTGATTGCTTCTGCACTTGGTGCATTCTTTTTCTTCCAAGGGTTGTCCATTACTGGTTGATTTCTTCCTTTCTTCGCTCCATTTTGATGAGTAACAGTTAAACACCCTCACTAACTCATGCGTGCCATCTTTAAGCTCTTTATGTGCATTGCGTGTATTCGATGTGAAGTCTGACATTCCTTGTATTATGCTACGTAACTTGGTCAGTAGTTGTTCTTCGCTCAGTTTGTCTATGTCGCATGGCGTCCTGGCTGAGGATTTTACTAGCTTCTTTGTCAGTATCGCGTTACTCACACCGAGTTTGTCCCGTTTCCTTTGCGTGCCCAAAGGCACGTCTGTCTCAGCAGATGCATTGCCGATTAAGAGGGCCTTCCTGGACAACCCCTCACTCGGGATCGGGCTTGCTGATGCGAGCCCACCCCCAGTTGCCGTCTCGTGAGATCCGACCCCCCCCCCCCTGTAGGAGGGTCTCGCGACGAGACTCGTTACTATTATTTGTGTTCATCATACATTATTTAATATGGCATTCGGTACACCAACGACGCTAGCCTCACGTCGTCTGTCTGGTATCCGTTCGTTATCCGCATCATTAGGGCAGCGGGGGTCGATGAGGTCCCCGGTGGTGAGCGATGTGCTAGGTGCTAGCAGGTTCGCTCGGACCTGCCATCCACAGTCAGTTAAGACCAGGGGTGGCTCTGTAGGTGCCGGCCTGGAGCGAAGGGTCGAGGCCGGGTTGGGATCGTTTAGTAAGATCTAGTCAAAGGCCCGCAAGCTCCCCCACCGCATTAAGGTGGATCCCGTTGGGGGTGAACCTGTAACTAACCTGGTGGGGTATATCTTATCTTGGGTCCCAAGGTCACCGAGCGCGCGGTGCCTGGTGCCGGTTTTTTTGTAGATTATTAAACTAATTAAGAATATAACTTTTTATTAGTTTAAAACTATAATTTTTAATTTATAAAAGTAATATCTTTACGCGCACAACGTTTGTTGTATACTAATTATTTACGTAAGAATTTGAGAAAAATTGGTTCTAATATAAGAAATTAAACGCATTAAACAGATTCTGCTCACAAGCGAGCAACTATTATCATTTTCTAAAAAAAAAACAAGAACATTTTATTTTTATACATATACTAGCCGACCTGGCACAGCTTCGCCCGTGATTGGTTGTTTATTTTGCCTTCGAACCATGATATGTAGAATTTTTTATTCAAATATTATTGTTTGATGTGATCGGCAAGTAAATATAAAAAAAACGGTTAATGAAAACGGATTGAAATTTTTTTAGCGTTATAAATGATAAAAATAAATACAGATAAAAAAGAAATAATTTATGGTTGATAAAGAATTTTATTGAAGTTGATGAAGAAAAAAAAATAAAAAAAAAGAATTAAAATAAGAATTTTATATGACTTCTGAGTATATGATGTTTTTTGTTATATTTTCTGTTGAAATTAAAATCAT